TAGAACGAGGCGGTTGAGGGTGTGGCCCCGGAGTCGGGCATACCTGAGTACGAGTGTCACCTCCGTGCCGTCTCCCGGTGACTCTCACCATCCTCTGAGACTCAGTGGCTCGGGGTAGTAATAGCGCGCACTTATTAGAGTTATTGCGCCACTTAAATAAGAGAATGGGGTCCTGTTGCAGAGGCTGGGAATCGGACCTGGCCTGGGGCAAGAAAGGGCTCAGCGGCTCCAACTCCCACCGCCCAGATGGAAGCTGATCTGTGAGCAAACCCAGTCCCTCTTCACTCCTCAACCTCGGGGCTCCCAACCCCTCCCCTCGTCCACCGCTGAGGCTTCCTGGGGAGGTGATTTCTTCCCTTGCAGGTTTGGCCTTGACTGGACGTCAAGCTGGTTCCACCAGCGTGAAGGGAAGGGGCGGGCAGGTATCAGGAGGTTCCTGCTGAAACCCTTCCCCTAGGTTTCTCCCCACCCTCAACCTCCCCTTGGCTCCAGGCTGGCCACCTTCCTGTCACCACCCCTCCCTGCGCTGCTGAGATTGGGGAGTCGAACTCACCCTGGGGCTTCTTCCCTCCTTCCAGCCTACTGGTCTGGCCCCTGGGGATTTCCTTGCAATCTGATTAAAAGGCTTGATTCTTCCAACCGCTCCCTGGAGTTCTGCCCAGCTGTGAGGCTGAGGGCTCTGGTTGGAGACTTGCCTCCTCAGACTGGACTGTAACGAACACCCCGGACCGGGTGCTGAGGCCAGAGGGGCTTCAGTTATTCAGTGACACCCGAAAGCTGGCGGGTCCTACCTGTCACCACTATCCATGATAGTGATGATGAAAATAAACTCGGATAGTGTAGTTGAATACACTTCCATAAAGCCTAGACACTTTGCAAGTTTCAAAGCACTTAAATATTCACCGTCTGATTCCATCCAGAGCAAGCCCCTTTGAAGTGGTGGTCCTACCAACATTTTATAGATGAGGAAACCCGGGCCCAGAATGGACAGTAAATCCTCCCAGGTTTCTACTGTTCAGGGGTCGACTAGGGCAGTCATTGGCCAGAGGAAACCACCTCTTTGCTTCAGTGGTTGGAGGGAGGAAGTGATGTTAATGGGAGTGAGAATTTAATGAAAATCTTTTTTAAAAGTTGCCATCAGGCCTGAATTTGAGTGGTGGGAGGGGTGAAGGCTGGGGCAGGGTGGCAGCCTGATGCTTGTTTTGGAATATACTTTGCCTGGGACTCCTTCCCCGAACCCTCCCGAGGCCCTAGGTATATTCATTTTCTTTGCCTGGAGAGAGGGGTTTCTTGCCCTTTTCTCCCTCAAAATTTTGGTTAGATTTTTCTTCTATTTCTCCAGCCAGCAAAGACATTTCACTCCAGGGCAAGATTATTCCTGAACTGGGCAAAATTACCACCAGTTCAAACAACTTTTCACTTACCCTCTGGGTTCCTGTCCCTGTAGCTTTTCAGAAGCTGGTCTCCGTTCCCTTAGGCCTGTGGTGTATGGTGGTCACAGCTTCCTCCTAGAAGAGGTCGCTGAGTTCCCTTCTGGAAGATGGAACTGAGGCAATCAATGCTCTTAGGGGAAAGAGTGGAAGGGCTGCTGCTTGGAAGGGTTCCCACTGTTATGTGGAGAAATGGAGAGGGAAAGCAGGGGTCTGGCTATATCTCTTGGGCAGGATCCTTCTCTGTGGGCCTCAGTTGCATCTCTAAAACTCTCCCCTGCTCTCGTGGGTGATGCTCACAGCTTAGGACAGTGATGGCGAACCTTTTGAGCTCGGCGTGTCAGCATTTTGAAAAACCCTAACTTAACTCTGGTGCCGTGTCACATATAGAAATTTTTTGATATTTGCAACCATAGTAAAACAAAGACTTACATTTTTGATATTTATTTTATATATTTAAATGCCATTTAACAAAGAAAAATCAACCAAAAAAATGAGTTTGCATGTCACCTCTGACACGCGTGTCATAGGTTCGCCATCACTGGCTTAGGAGCTGTAAACTGCTGAACTTCAGTCGTCAAGGAAATGGGTTTCATTCATTCAACAGATATTTATTCAGGGCCTCCTCTGTGTAGGAACTCTCTTCTAGGTAGTTGGGCATAGAAAATAAGTCAAAGTCATGGTGCTTATAGTGCCTATTACCTTGGGACTTGCCCAAGGAGACATGGCCAGTGGTGGGGGGAAAAATACAAAAAGTTAAACAAACATTATGCAGTCAGAGAACAATAGTACAAAGGAGAAAAGTAAGCAAAGTAAGGGAATGGAGATGTGGATCGTCAGGGAAGGCTTCTGAAAAAGTGACATGTCAGGGAGCGAGACAGAGAGATATATGGGTGAAGACAGCTAGAGACAGAAGAAACAACAGGTGCAAAGGCACTGAGGTCAGGACAAATTTGGCGTGTCTATGGAAGAGACAGAAGGCCAGTGCAGAGAGTGGTAGGCGGTAGCATTGGGGAGATTACACAGAGTCACGTAAGGTAGGGCCTTGTTGGCTGAGATAAGAAGCTTAATCTCATCTTACTGTGGGTGTATTGGAAAGTCATTGGAGAGTTTTGAGCAGGGACAGTGAGTGACCTGATCTGATTTCCTTACAAAACGTGGCTGTGTTTAACTTGGGGGTTCAAGAATGGAAGCCCAGTTAGGAGGCTCTAACAGTGGTGCCTGTGAGAGATAATGGTGATCTGGGTAGAATGGCAGGAGTGGAGGTGACCAGAAGTGGCCAGAGGAAAGAGAGAGAGAGAGAGACTTTGGAGATGGGGCTGGTAGGACTCATTGATGGATTAGATGTGAGGTTGCAGGTTTTTATTTTTATTTTTTCTGGGTAATGAGGTTGATGACTGATGGTGCTGTTTAATAAGTGGGGGTGGGGATACTGGAGTTTGAGAAGCCATGTTCTTCTACTTGGGTGCATGTGTAAAGAGTCAGGAACCTGGGTATGAAGAAAGATTGAGATTGTATGCAGGAAAGTGATTATAATAATGGGTAGATGAGATTTCAGGATAAAGAGAGAAACAAGGCCACAATAAGAGGTGATGGACAGTGAAGAGGTAAGACAGCTCCAACTGAGCTGAAGAAATTGTTGGAATGGAAATTCTAGAGTTAGTGATCTAGAAGGATGGGAAGTGGTAGGCAGGGGATGGGATATTTGAGATGAAGATTTTGGAGGCAGTATAGCTTTCCATAATGGTGAGATCTGGGATATAACCAGGGGAGTGGGTGGCAGAGGAGGGGTAAAAAGAAAAACAAATCAATGGAATGGAATGAATGGATCAACATGGCTCAAGATGCCATGGGTGTTGTTTGTGTTGCAGAACAAGATTGTGGACCAGTGTGAGAGACTGCAGTTACAGAGTGCTGGCATCACCAAGTACATGGCTGAGGTCCTACCAGGGAAGAACCAGAGAGCAATGGTAGGTAATTCTTCCCTTTCCCCCTCTTCTAGGGTAAGACCCCAGCCTTAGGGACTTGAATCAGTCAAGGTCCCTTCCTAACCTCACTAAGTCATTGTGCTGTAGCACAAAGCTGGATGCCCAGGAAGGATGGTTTCTTCTCTCTCTGAGCCTCGGTTTTACCATCTGGGCAGAGTTGCACACTAATGCAAAGACTGCTTTCAGGGGAAGGGATCAGGGAGGGTAGCATTTTTCTAACATCTAATTATTTTGTGTGCAGCCCCAGAATTATCAGATAACCTAGGGGCTTGTATGTTGGATATTCTTTATCATCGTCCTATGCAGTAGGTGGCAGTAACATCCCTATTTACCAGACGGTTAATGGACTGGACCAAGGTCCCACATCCTCCTGCCAGAGTCAGTTCTATGACCTGGATCTTCTGACTCTGCAGCCAGTGCTCCTGCTGCTGCACCGCACTGCTGGTCCTTGTGACTCGTTGCCACACCTACATCTCTCAAGTATGCTTTTCAAGGGCAGGGGCTATGAATTTCTTCCTCCCTCTTATTCCTACCCTTAGTAGTACATGGGAATGGACCATTGGATTTAGTAACATGCACAGTATTGAAGATCCTGACGAGAGGAATTTTGTAGAGTGGTGGGGTGAAAGCCTGATTGGAGTGGTTTTCAGAGAGCAATTTGGGATAGTTAATACAGGTAACTCTTGAGCGTTGCCGTAGAAGGGAGCTGGCAAATTGGATGATCCTGGAGAGAGATAAGGGATCAATGCAGTTTTTTTTGTTTATTTTCTTTTTAAGATGGGAGAATTTACTTTATGTGTGTATGCTGATGGGAATTTCCCAGTAGAAAGGGGAAAATTAATGATGCAAGAGAAAGAGGAAATTTGGGTATAGCAAAGGGGGGTGGGATCTAGTAAGCAAGTGGAAAGGTTGGTTGTAGGTAAAAGCATGGGCAGTTCATTCACAGAAACAGAGAAGGCAGAGTGAGCACAGGTGCAGGTAGATGGTTAGGTGACGGGCAGACCTTGTGGAAGTTCTCTTCTGATTGCTTCCATTTTCCATTACTTACCACCTTCCCTGTAGGTTCTTAAGGATGCCATTTGTCAGTTTATGGATATGTTTTGTTCTCCATCATCTTTTTATATGGTAACACATTAATAGAGTTTCTAACGCTAAGCCATCCTTGAATTCCTGGGGAAAACCAATGTAACTTGATCATAATATATATATTTTTTAACTTTTAATTTTGAGATCACTATAGATTCACATACAATGTTAACATCTTTCCTAACTGTGGTAGAATATCATAATCTGGAAATTGACATTAATACAGCTCACCTTTTCAGATTTTATCAGTTTTACACCAATTAATTTCTGTGTGTGACTTTAATTCTATGCAGTTGTATCACATCTATAGATTCATGTGACTTCCACCACAACTGAGATACAGAACAGTTCCATCATAAGGATCCCTTAGTATAGCTTTCTAAAAAGCATTTTTGCACCTATGCTCAGGAGTGAGACTAGCCTATGAGTTTCATTTCTTGTATAGTATAGTCCTTATCAGATTTTGTTATCGAGATTATATAATCCTTATTCAATGGGTTGGGAAACAGAACTCTCTATTTTCACTGGAGGAGCTTATATAAGATTGGAATTATCTGTGCCTTGAATGTTTGGTGACACCCTCTGTAACACTATCAGGGCCTGGTGGTATTTTGTTGGTAGATTTTTAACTACTGATTCATTTTCCATCATAACTACAGGCTTTTTCCTGTTCTGTTTTCTTTTTCTTTGGTTTTAGTAAATTCTTTCTGGAAAAATTATCCACTTTCTCTGTTGTTGAATTTAAATGCATAAAATTATTCTTTTTTAAAAAATATATTTTATTGATTTTTTTATAGAGAGGAAGGGAGAGGGATAGAGAGTTAGAAACATCAATGAGAGAGAAACATCGATCAGCTGCCTTCTGCACACCCCCAACCAAGGTACATGCCCTTGACTGGAATCGAACCTGGGACCTTTCAGTCCACAGGCCGACTCTCTACCCACTGAGCCAAACCAGTTAGGGCCATAAAATTATTCTTAATATTGATCAAGTTGTCACAGGTTTGTCTATCAAGTTAGTCTTCAAAGAACCAACTTTTAGTATTTTAACTCTCTCTTTTATCTCTTTTTAAAAAATATATTGCCCAGCTGGCGTGGCTCAGTGGTTGAGTATTGACCTATAAACCAGGAGGTCAGGGTTCGATTCCTGGTCAAGGCACGTGCCTAGGTTTCGGGCTCAATCCTCAGTAGGGGGTGTGCAGGAGGCAGCCGATCAATGATTATCTCTCATCATTGATGTTTCTGTCTCTCCCTCCCTCTCCCTTCCTTTCTGAAATCAATACAAATATATAAAAAATAAAAATATTATATTCTTCTATCTTTATAATTTTTCTATCTATTTATTTATTTATTTTAAAATATATTTTTATTGATTTCAGAGAGGATGGGATAGGGAGGGAGAGATAGAAACATCAAGGGTGAGAAAAATGTCTCCCACTGGGGATTGAGCCCACAACCAGGAATCAAACCAGGAGCATGTGCCCTGACCAGGAATCAAACTGTGACCTCCTGGTTCATAGGTCGATGCTCAACCTCTGAGCCATACCAGCCAGGCTATAATTTTTTTCTTTTAATATGTTTTTTTACATACTTTGTTTTTTTTTAACTTACTGAGTTGAACAGTCTATCATTTTAGTTTTTCTTATTTCTCAAGGTGAGCATTTAAACCTTTTAGGTGTTGATATAGGTACCTCCCACAAACTTGGTATTGTACTTGCATTCAGTTACAAGTATTTTTATTTTTATTTTAAAAATATATTTTATTGATTTTTTACAGAGAGGAGGGGAGAGGGATAGAGAGTTAGAAACATCAATCAGCTGCCTCCTGTACACACCCTACTGGGATGTGCCCACAACCAAGGTACATGCCCTTGACTGAAATCGAACTTGGGACCCTTCAGTCTGCAGGCTGATGCTCTATTCACTAAGCCAAACCTGTTAGGGCCAGTTACAAGTATTTTTAAATTTCCACTATGATTTGTTCTTTCACTATGAGTTATTAGAAATAGGTTTTTAAATATCCAAGTGTATGGTTTTATTCTTTAAATTATCATCTTTTTTTTTTTTTTTTTTACTAATTTCTAACTTAACTGCATTGTAATCTGTATGATATCAATTGTTTGAAATTTGTTGGGACTTGCTTCATGCCCTAAAACATTATCAGTTTAGGTGAGCATTTCATATTCACTTGAAAAAATATATAGGGTTCTATATATGTCTACTAATTAAGTTTATTAATTGGGTCAAATCTTCTCTCTACTTACTAATTTTTTATCTGTCAGATTTATTGATTACTGGCAAAGGGCATTTATTTACATTTTCATATCATGCTGTGGACTTGTCTAGTTTTCTTTATGATTCTGTCAACTATTACTTTTATATTAAATGTATATAATTTAGATTGGTTATATATTCTTGGTAAACCATTCCTTGATCACTTTATAGTGACCTTGTATGCCCTTGTATGATGGTTTAGATGAGTATAAAATTCTAAAGCAAATCACAAGCCCAACCCTAGGCAACTGAGTCCTCAGCTCCTGATCACACTGGTTTCCAGTTTCCTTTCTACTTTTGGACTCCGGGTTATTTCCTTTAATTAGCTGCCAAAGCAGCTACACTTTGGGTTATTTTCCCAGCATTTCTGTGTTCTAGGAGGGTTTTTCGTTTACCCTGTCATATCTTCGGAAAGGGATCGTTTCTGGGAATGACTCAAGAAGGGTGTTGAAATTGATTGCCACCTTCTACTCAGGGAGTATCTGATGTCTCTTGGGTCAGGGTCTGTTCTTGATCCTGATCACACAGTATAAACACAGCTGCAGAGACTCAGGGCACTGTGGGCATCAGAGTGGGACAAAGAGAAGAGCAATAGCTGATGTTACTGAGCACTCACGTGCCAGCTTTGTTCTATTTGTTTTACATGTATTAACTCATTTAATCCTCACAATAGCCTTATGAGGTATCATCCTCAGTTGAAAACAGGCATAGGGATGATAAGTAACGTGATTAAAGTTCCACATATAGTAAGTGCAACAGCTAAGATTTAAACTTCGGAACTGCCTCCAAAACCCAATTTCCCAGCCCCTATGTCGCATTGCCTTATGAGAACACTGAGGGCTCTGAACTCCCAGATTCACTGGACTGTACACTGAGCCACTCCCTTTTCCCCACTGGGCAAATGATGGGCCTCAGTTTCTTCTGTTCAACAGGGATAATTGTCGTCTGCACTGTACAAAGCAGGTCTTCAGGGGCAGGACACTGGAAGCTGTTGGCTATCTCTGACCTTGGCATGAAGGAGACTGTTCTCCTCTCACTTCATGCAACAGGTACCTTTGGGTAGGACTGATTCCCAGATGGCACTGGTGTAGGGGGATAGTGTTGGACTGAAAGTCAAGAGAACTGGGTTTTAGTCCCAGCTCTGTCACTGACTCAGCATGTGAGTGCTATCAAGAGATTTTTGACTAAGTTGGGAAAAATTTTTCTAGCAGTCATTCAGTAAATATTTGAGTGCCTACTATGTGGCAGGCACTGGGCTAGTTGCTAGGAGACACACATTAACTTTATTGGCTGAGAACTGATTTCAGGCCTCCTTTGATGCAGGAAAGAATTCTACCATGGAAGCAGTTGGAATGGACAGTTAGGGAATAATAAGGTTTTTGTTCTCAGACATCGTCAAAAATATCAACTGGATCACTGTTGGTACAGATCCTGTTGATGGGGATGACTTTGTAGGCCCTTCTGTTCTGCAGTTCTGTGATCTCTGACCTTGGTCCCTTGGCCTTGGTATTCCCATCTGTGAAATAAGTAGGTGGCTCTAGTTGATCTCTAGGCCCTGCCCACCACTTCCATTCTGGGAACCTGGTTCTGCGAGATATAGCCTGGATGTCTGGATTTCACATTTCTTTACCCTAAACCATATAAACCATAGTTGGGAACTCTTAAGGCTGGGATGGCTTAAGCACTGTTACTGCCACTACAGTGGCCATGACAGACATTGCTGATCAATTTCGGCACTCCTTTGGGCTGTGCCCAAACCCTCCTAAGCTTTTTTTTTTTTTTTAAATATATTTTTTATTGATTTCAGAGTTGAAGGGAGAGGGAGAAAAAGATAGAAACATCAATGATGAGAGAGAATCAGAGGCCTCCTGCACGCCCTCTACTGGGGATCGAGCCCGCAACCTAGGCATGTGCCCTTGACTGGAATTGAACCCAGAACCCTTCAGTCCGCAGGCTGACGCTAGCCACTGAGCCAAACCAGCTAGGGCGAAACCCTCCTAATCTTGACTGGGGCTTTGCCAGGATCTGACTGTTTTTTATCCCTCGCTAGAGCATGGCCAGCGCAGCGCGGGAACTGGTCATCCAGCGGCTGGGTCTGGTGAGGAGTCTGTGTGAGACTGAGGAGCAGCGGTTGCTGGAACGGGTGCATGGCGAAGAGGAGCGGGCCCACCAGAGCATCCTGACGCAGCGAGTACACTGGGCCGAGGCTTTGCAGAAGCTCGACTCCATCCGCACCAGCCTGGTGGACATGCTCACCCATACAGATGACCTCCAGCTGATTGTAAGTCAGATGAGGTTGAGGGCATGTCTCTCCAAAAAGTCTGAAAACATCGAGAATGTTAAAATTATTGGTTGGAGGTGGGTGGATAATGATAATTTGAAGCAGGGATGAGTCAGGGGAATAAAATTATATAGATTTTTAGAAATATATTTTTATTGATTCCAGAGAGGGAGAGAGAGATAGAAACATCAATGATGAGATATATGTATTTTTTGCACCTGGTAACTATTCTTTGAATAGTGAGCAAATATTCATTGAGTGCCTACTATGTGCTAAGCATTGTGCTGTGGGGTGGAGTTGCAGTATACAGCTGTCAGTGACTCACAGCCTTATGGACGAGACAAATACAGAAACTGATAATTAGGATATGGAGGATGTGTGCTGTGGTAGATGACATTCCTGGGAGCTAGGGACCCCACAAGCCAAACTCGGGGGGGTCAGGGAAGGCTTCCTGGATGAAGTGACTTAGAAGCTGATGCCTGAAAGATAAGAGTTGCAACTATGTTAAAGGACATGGGAGGTGGAGAGATAACTCCATACCTGAAGAATTGACAAGGAGTCCAATATGAAAATATACAGCTCATCTTTAATCCTACCATCTAGAAATCACTATGATTAATATTTTGGCACCTATTCTTTCAAAGTATTTTATATAGATATGCAGATATCTGCAGTTTTAAGGGACATTGTGACATCTGAATAAATATGCCAAGCAGAGAAATGAGAATGTAGAACAACTGAGCTGTCTGTACCACTGCAGTTCAAGTAGGACAGCTTCCATGACTGCCCTAGATTGTGCATTCATTTAGTCACACAGCTTCCACGGACAGAGCACGTTCTGTCCGCAACACTGGGACAGTCACAATAGAAGATTCAGGAAAGGGTCCCAGCCATCTAGCTGCTGACAGTCTTGATGGGGGACGAAGTGTTGGGTAAATATGCACCTGTCCTGAAGTGTAAGTGAGGGAAACTCAGGACCCCATGGGGCGCAGGGGGCAGAGTGATTCATTCTGAGTGGGGGGTGGGGAGGTATGCGAGGGACCCAGGCAGCTTTGTGCTTTGTCTTAAAGAAGGAGTAGAATTTTTTATCCTAGAGTCTCCGTCTCCGCGGAGCCCTCCACGCCAGTTGAATCCGTTCAGATCTTGACTGCCTGCTGGGTTTCTGGTGCCAAGCCTGACTCTGTTTTCTTTTCTCACAGCAGAAGGAGCAGGAGATTTTTGAGAGGTGAGTACGGTCCCTGATTTGCTTGGGCAGTCATGGAAACCGTGGCCTTCGGGCCTCTACATAGTTCACTGCATTCAGGCTCCGCTGCTCCTGGGGGAAAGCCCAGGGTGTGCAGCTGCGAGTGGCTTCTCTGGCGCCAGGCTCGATGGACGGGGCCTTCCTGCTCCTCGCTTGGAGAACTGCTTTAGACCCATGTGTAAGGGAGTGAAATAATCACTTACTAACCAGGGGCTTGCCACAGTCTAACATCATCCCATTAAAGACTGTACTGTCCCCCTGTTGGATGGTTTTACCAGCCCATCTACAGATGCGAATGCTGAGGCTCAGAGAGGGGAAGGGACTTGCCCAAGCCCCAGAGCTGGGACTGGGACCCACATCTGACATCTGTCTCAGGACTGTCTCCTCAAATTTGCATGTTAAGTATGCAATATGCAAAGAATTTCACCAGGCCCTACCTAGGTCCCAAAGGGCTGGGAACCAAGAGTCTGAGGAGTGGCTAAAAGGATGTAAATTGCCAGGCAAGGAAATGAAATTCTTAATCAGTGCAAGAGTTCAGAGCTGTACTTGAGGAGCACAGCCCATTCTTCTTATCTATTTTTGTATTTAAGTTCAATAGCAATACATATGTATGAGAGAAAGAAAAAAAATCCACCAATATAAAACTGTTCAAATTAAAAATGAGTCATCTCTTCCCAACCCCATTCTCTAGAGGTGAGAACCGTTAGTTGTATGTCTTTGGGACTTTCCTATGTATAATCATAGGAGAATTTTTGCCTCCTTAAAAATATTTTTTTAAACACAGATGGGAATCATTTTTATACTTGTTGTTCTATAATTTATCAGGCTAATTTGGAATCTTTCCATGTGAACACACGTAGACTTACCTCACTTTTCGGAAAGTCTGTGAAGTATTCCACAGTATGGATGCACCACATTCATCTTACTGTCTCCTTTTATTTTTTTAAATATACATTTTTATTAAGTATATTTTCAGAGAGAGAAAAGGAGAGGGAGAGATAGAAACATCAATGATGAGAGAGAATCATTGATCAGCTGCCTCCTGCACGCCCCACACTGGGGATCGAGTCTGCAACCCAGGCATGTGCCTTGACTGGGAATCAAACTGTAACCTCCTGGTTCATAGGTTGACATTCAACCACTGAGCCACACCGGCCAGGTTTCTGTCTCCTTTTCATGTGTATTTGGCTTGTTCCGACTTTTTCCCTCCTGTAATCTTCCCACCTTTCTGCTGGTCTTCTCTTTTTTCTCTATCTTTATCATCTTCCTCTAATACAGTCAGTCTGTCTGCAATATCAAGTTGATGTGATTTTTGAAAAAAAATTTTGATCTTCAAATTTTTTGTTTTGAATATTTTTAACTCAGAAAAGTTAGAAAAAGTATTACAATGACCTTTGCCTAGAAATACTAATTGTGTTAACATTTTGCCATGTTTGCTCTTTCTCACTGTCTCTTTTTTCCTATCTATCAAGATGATTGCTCCTCTGTACTAGCATAGTATCTTTAAAAAAAATTATAGCCCAGCCAGTGTGTCTCAGTGGTTGAGCATCAACCTAAGAACCAGGAGGTTACAGTTTGATTCTTGGTCAAGGCACACATGACTGGGTTGTGGGCTCTATCCCCAGTAAGGGGCATGCAGGAGGCAGCTGATCAATGATTCTCATCATTGATGTTTCTTTTTCTCCCTCTCCCTTTCTCTCTGAAATCAATAAAAATACATTTTTTAAAAAAACCTTTTTTCTCAACTATTTGAGAGTAAGTTGTAGAAAATATATTTTATTCTTAAATACTTCAGCATTTATCTCCTAAGAACAAAGACATTCTCTTACATAACCACAGTATAATTATCAAGTTCAGAAATTTAATGTTGATATAATACTATAATCTAATATATAGTCTATATCCAAATCTACAGCCAATTGTACCAAAAAAGTTCTTAACAGTGTTTAGTGGTTTCTTTTTGTTTGTTTTTTTTTCCTGGTCCATCTGTTCTCTTTTAATCTGGAATTGTTCCTTCATTTTTTTAAAAAAGAAAAACATTTTAAATGAGTCTAGGACAGTTGTTTTGTAGAACATTCCTCGATTTGAGTTCATCTGATGTTACCTCATGATTGGGTTCAGGTTATGCATTTTTGGCAAGAATATCTCATAAGTGATGTGTTCTCAGTCTGTCAAATCAGAGGGCACGTGATGTCACTTTGTCCCTTATCAGGAATGTCAATTTTGATCACATGGATAAAATGGTGTCTATCAGGTTTCTTCATTATAAAGTCATATCTTTACTTTTGTAATGAATAAGCAATGTGAGGAGGTGCATTTTGTATAAATAGCCTCTTTACCTTCAAACTTCATCCCATAATTTTAGTCTCCATTGATGCTAAATTCCTGAGTTATTCACTTATAAATTATTGTTCATTCATTTATTTAGTATAAATATAGACTTGCGAATTCTTTTTTTATTCAGTGTATTATAATCTGATACTACTACTACTATTACTAATTTTGATCTTCAAACTGTCCTAGATTTGGCCAGTTTTAGTCCCTTGGGGCTGGATCCTGGATCCTTTTGACAAGTCCCCATTATTCTTTTTTAAAAAATTAAACATATTTTTATTGATTTCAAAGAGGAAGAGAGAAATAGAAACATCAATAATGAGAGAGAATCATTGATCAGCTGCCTACTGCATGCCCCACACTGGGGACCAAGCCCACAACCCGGGCATGTGCCCTGACCGGGAATCGGATCATGACCTCCTGGTTTATAGGTGGACACAACTACTGAGTCACGCCGGCTGGGCCCCATCATTCTTTAAGTACTTTCTTGTGTTCCAGCACAACATAATGTCCCGGGCTCACCTTGTTCTTTCCCTGCCTCAGCCCTGGAACCAGCTATTGCTCCAGGGACTCTTGGTTCCTTGTAGTGGGGAGTGGTATTTAAAAACTGAGATCTGGGCAGTAGATGTGCCTTGCTGCCGATGCATCATTGCTTCCAGGCCTTCTCAGTAGACAGCAGACAGAGCTGGGAAGTGTGAGTGTTTTTTTTTATTCATGAGTTTGTATTACAACTTCTAATTCCAAGGGAACACTACAGCATTTTTCCTTTGATTTCTCCCATTCTACGTTTATATCTTTCTTTTTTCACAGTGAGAACCTTGGCACCCAACAACAGCAATATAGTCATTCATTTGTTTGGTCCTATAATACACACAGAGTTGTTTGAGAATTGCTTAAACAAAATACTACTGACAGCCCTAACCGGTTTGGGTCAGTGGATAGCGCATTGGCCTGCGGACTGAGGGGTCCCAGGTTTGATTCTGGTCAAGGGCATGTGCCCGGTTGCGGGCTTGATCCCCGGTAGGGGGTGTGCAGGAGGCAGCCGATCAGTGAGTCTCTCTCATCATTGATGATTCTCTCTCTCTCTCTCCCTCCCTTCCTCTCTGAAATCAATAAAAATATATTTAGGAAAAAAAATACTACTGACAAACCCATTCGTAGAAGTCAAAATTTATTTGCGGTTCCTTGTGCCTTTAGAAAGTACTGTGTTCAAAAGTTGTCAAGCACCTTCTAGCTGGGAACTCACTTGTCTGAGAAATGCCTTTTTTGGATCTAATTTTGTTTCCACATCCCCGGCTGGGTTCAGCTGCAGCCTGTCACATGGCAGCAGGTCCTGCTGCATAGACCGGGCCTTCAGATCCTAGCCAGGGCCCTGCTGTGTCCGAACCCCAATTCACTCCCAGGAATTTTCCCTTCTGTACCAGAAGGCACATGGACCAGCTGATTTTCTAGATTCTGGTGACTATGATTGGCCTCAGATTTGCCCTGGGATGATGGCTTAGCAATGCAGACACTGGTCCTCTTTCCTCCCCACCTGATGGCGGGGGTCCCTGAAGACCCAGCCTCACTGCTGTGAGAAGAGGCATCAGACCCTCTGTTGTCCTGACCACAAAGACTCTTTGTTACTAGAGCCAGCGCTCAGCTTTTCTAGGGCTCTGCTTACCTCCTTCTTCCCAAGCCAGGATAGTCAGTGACAGTCTTGCCAAGAGCAGGCATCCATGAGACATGCCCCCCCCCCCTCCTTCATTAATGAGCGGAGCTGGGAGATTTGGGGCAGCGAGTGTATACTCTCAGAACTGCTGCCTGATCTCAGCCATCAAGATTAGAGGCAGTGGGAAGTTCTTTCTCAGAACCCAGTTCAAAAGGCTGCAAATCCCCACTTTGCTCTATTCCCTTTGAGACTTCACTTCTGGTCAAGGAAAGAATTACGTTGAACGGTGCCTGGAGGTAGGACTTGAATCAGATCCCCGTTTTAGCTGAGTGTCTTCTCTGTTCTCTCCTGTCAAGTGGGTAACAAGTACCTCTCAGGTTATACCAAAGATGACGTGAGATTCTGTATAGAAAGGATCAAGCCCAGAGCCTGGCTGCTTAATAAGTGGCGGTTCTCCTTGTTCCCAAATTCCCTCTCCAACCAAACTCAGTCCCCAGCCCTGAGCTGAGGAGCGGTAGTTATTGGGAACAAAGTGCTGTGAATAATTTATGATTGGGGAAATAACCGATAGTCCCTTCCTGTGTGACCCCACAGGGGTGTTGCCATTTTAAGAGCGGAGGAGTTGGCTGTACCAGCTAATCAAACCGAGGGCAGCATTACTGCTGCGATTGGTTTTGGAGGGAGGTGGCGTGGGAAGACTGCTGCACAGAGGTCCAAGGGGCCCAAGTCCTAACCCCGGCTCTGCCCAGTACCAGATCCTTGGACGAGTGAGTAGCTTCGTCCACAGAGCAGAGTGACTCCAAGTTATGATACTGGCGCCAAGTAGTTACCACCTTGTCAATCATCTGCCATGCGTAATGAAGGCTTGGGGGAGTGGAGGGTGCACAGGGGGAATGTCCGCCTTCACTTTGGCTCCAGCCCCCTTTAGGCAGCTCCTGTCTGAGGCTGGCGGCCAATCTTGGTGTCACCCTTGTGGGAAGAGGATTATCTGCCACCTTCTGCCCCCCCCCCCCCTCCATTACCCTGTATTGATCCAGATACATTTCCAGAACCTTTATGAGTCTGTTTTGTTTTCTTTCTTACAAGGGCCGAGGAAGCAGAGGGCATTTTGGATCCCCAGGAGTCGAAAAAGTTAAACTTTAATGAGACGTGTGCTTGGAGCCCACTTCTGACCCAGCTCTGGGCAACAGCAGCTCTCGGCTCCCTCTCAGGTTAGAAGCTCGAGCCCAGCACCTGTTGGAGCAACTGGGCATCTGTCTGTCTGTCTGTCTGTCTGTGGTTTGCTGTGGCCAACACTGGGGACTGGTGCATTCGGGATGGTAGCTTAAACAACCAGTGATACTGGGTGCAGGTTTGTCAATGGAGCCAAGGTTCTGGAAAGGCCTGGGGCACCTGGGCCAGGTCCTGCCCGTTAGCAGACCGACCTGCTCTGTAGTTGGGTCTAGGATAAATCTTGTTCTGGTAAACCACGTCCTCCTCATGCCCTGCCCTACTGAGACAGCTCAGTATTATTTCTTGGAAACCTGGTTTCTCTTTAAGAAGAGAGATAATTGATGGCCAACTGGGAGCGAGAATTGAGCTTCCTGGATTCATCTCACTTAACAAACATTGACTCAGGCTGACTGTGGACCTGACCTTGTGCTGCATGCTGGGGCCACAGAGGTGAACATGACACGGTCTCCTGCCTCCACAAATTCCCACTTAGTGCAGAGGTTCTCAAAGCAGGCTAGAAGTTTCCATTCTCCCAGCTGTGGTAGTTGCACAATTCACAGGTTAATTAGTGAATTGACATTTTTCTCAATTTTAACCCTCCCCACCTCCCAATTTCCCATTCCCCATTCTCCTTAGAATGCTAGTACACACTAGAATTCTCTAGAGCAGTGGTTCTCAACCTTGGCTGCACATTAGATTCACCTGGGAATCTTTTTAAAATCCTGACTTCTGGGCCTCATCCTCCGGAAATTCTGTTTCTTTGTTATGGGGTGGGGCCACAACATTAGTAACAAAGAAACAGAATTTCCGGAGGATGAGGCCCAGAAATCAGGATTTAAAAAAGATTCCCAGGTGATTCTAATGTGCAGCTAAGGTTGAGAACCACTGCTGCAGAGTCTGATGTCAAATATTACCTGATTTGCTGGCAGTCCCATGTAGTTAGTTGTTGGAAACTGCATACCTGATGCTTCCCAGCTTCCAGGGGCACGGTGTCCCAAGGACAAGTCTGATCTGGAGGCTGCAGATTTGCCCAACTGGAATGCAGTATGACCAGTGCTCGATGCTAGATGTAGGAACAACATGCTGGGTCTTCATTTTGTCCCTGCCACCAACTTCGTGTGTGACCTTGGGCAATTTGCTTCTCTGGGCCTTATTTCTATCAGAGTTTACAAATAGTAATAACGACTGTTATGACCACAACTTATTGAGCACATATTATTGCTGGGTACTTTCCATGTATCATTTCGTTTGATCCTTACATCTATCCTGTGATAAGTCCTATTTTGATCCCCATTTTACAGATGAGGAAACTGAGGCTCAGAGAGAGTAAATGGCTGCCAGTGAGTGATAAGGAAGCCCTTCACTACCTGGCAGGACCAGGGTAGGGCTGAGTGTGGACCTTGGGCAACTCTGAGATTTTTTCTGGCAGGCACAGAGGATGTGCGCATCGATGAGAGGACTGTCAGCCCCTTCCTGCAATTGTCAGATGATGGAAGGACTCTGACCTTCAACGCCAAGAAGCCCAAGGCCTGTGCAGATGGCCCAGAGCGCTTTGACCACTGGCCCAACGCCCTGGCCGCCACCTCTTTCCAGTCTGGGCTGCACGCGTGGATGGTAAATGTGCAGAACAGTTGTGCCTACAAGGTGGGCGTGGCCTTAGGCCAGCTGCCCCGTAAGGGTTCTGGCAGTGACTCTCGTCTGGGCCACAATGCCTACTCCTGGGTCTTCTCCCGCTACGACCAAGAGTTCTGTTTCTCACACGGCGGGCAGCATGTGCCCCTGGGGCTGCTGCGCTGCCCAGCACAGCTGGGAGTGCTGCTGGACTTGCAGGCCCAGGAGCTGCTCTTCTACGATCCAGCCTCGGGCACGGTGCTCCACACCCACCACACGTCCTTCCCTGGGCCCCTCTTCCCAGTCTTTGCTGTGGCTGACCAGACCATTTCCATTGTCCACTGACCTTTGGCACTGGGGAGGCTAGATCTGCCTGCCCACCATCCTTTTAGGCCACATTTCTACCCAGTGTCCTTTTCCCAAATGTTGCCCATGCCCCCTGGGCAGCTTTAGGAGGGGTAGGATCCATTTCAGATCCGGTATAACCATTAAATGCTGTATCTGTGGGGAACCTGCCACTCCCTGGGCCTTAGTCTCCCAAATTCACCCTCTAAGGGCGTCTTGTTCACCACTTTATCTCTGGAATCCAGCATGGTGCCTGGTGAGTGTGTAATAAATATTTGGCAAGTGAATGGGTGGGTGGATGGATGGATGGACGGATGGGTGGATGGACGGGTGGATGGGTGCATGTGGTGGAGAAGCACTGCCTTTCAGCCCCCTGCCCCCAGCTCTGAGCGTGTAGAAGTGGTTTTCTGGCAGAGAAGCCTGTGGCTGAAGTCCTTTCATCTCAATTGAGTGCTTTTCAGTCCTTCCCATGACATGACACGGGGAAAGACTTTTTCTAGCACACAAGGACAACCTGGAAGGGACCTAGAACTCCTGCCAGTTGCTCCTGGTCAGAGGACTCTGGCCGGGGGGCTGTGTCCTAACCCAGGGCCTACCTGGCCACTCGGAAGACTGAGAAAATCCTGTCTCCAGGTAACCTGACTGCAACACACCCATCAGCAGCTCTGCCTTGGACCTCCAGCCTGTGCCCACTGCGGTAACCGGGATTAATTTCCCCCCAGCTGCAGCTGATGAGTGCCCCGCCTGGTGGCCCCTTCTGACATAATGTGGGGACCTGGGGTGAGAACCTGGAGTCAGAAAGAGCTGAGGGGGTAAGAGGACCAGCCTTAGAGAACATGTACATTATTAAAGGTTTTACTAGATTGACAATTTTCTCCCATGTTCTTTGTTGGTAATTAGGCAACACTCCCCGCCCCCCGCCCCACCCTCCCTACCCCCAAGGGCCAGCTCAAGTCTTAGGGGTGTGTTTACTGGAAATTTGATGTCTTCCTCATTTCATGTTGTCAGATATAAGCGGGTGGCTGAGGTCAGCATACACACCCTGAAGGGCCTGGAGTCGGTTCTGTGCCCTGCACTGCTGGGACCAAGCGCAGGTCTTTTTCTGATCTTTAAGGAGGTCACATTAGAGCAGTAGTCCTCACATTTTTATTTCTTTGGGGAACGTAGTTCAAAGGCAATCTTTCCTACAACTTCAGGCTCCTGGGCTCAAAGATGAGGCCAGAGCCCTCCCCACTGTTTGCTCAATAAGAAACACTGGGTGGATCAAATCCAGTCCACAGACCTGTTGGCAACTTTCATGACTGCAATGACTTCTGAGGCCCCTGTGGCTCTGAGACCACAGCTCATGACCCTGTCCTCACCCTGACACTCGGGAAGGTGTCTGAGGAGAGCTTTCCTGCCTCCAAACCTGGGTCAATGCCAGATTCTTCTAGATGGCACCCGAAGGCCCTTACACCACTCTCCCCAAATCACCAATCTAACTCCCCATAGCAGCCCTCAGTCCACAGTTCACGGGCCTGCTGCTAGGGATTCCCTATTCTGCCCACCTCAATGCCAGTCCCAGTTCAGGGTCCATTCCAGAGCCCTCCCTGGCTGTTGGCACTAGAACATAACGTGCATGTGCCCATCTACCTGCTTTTCACCTGTGGTTCCCCTGTGCTTGGCACTGGCTGGGGCACAGAGGTGTCCAGTAAATACCAAGTAGAAAGGTGTGTGAAGAGGGAGAGGCAGGAAGAGACACGGAATTTTTAAAACGCAACTTCAATTCCCAGTAATTCTCCCCACATTTACACTCCTGCCACCTTGGTCTCTGGTCCCTGTCCCCTGCGCTTTCCTACCCCTTGTTAACCTCCTATGACTGGGGTGTCCTTTAAGAATGACACCCTTTAGGTCACCATCCCTATTCTTCCAGGACCTCAGCTGCACTATGTCTCATGTGACATGGATCCCTTTCTACTTGCAAACTAGTGGTCAAACCAATGAATGGGCTTTGGAGTCAGACATGCCTAAATTGGAAACCTGGCTCCCTCATGTACTAGCTGTGACCTCAGGCAGGCTAAACCTCTGAATCCCTTGTCAAATGGAAGACATACTACTTAAGCCCACTAGATAGCTTTGAGGGTTCTATATGCCTATCAAAGATGAGCAGAGTACCTAACACATGGAGGAGGGGTGTGTGTGTGTGGATCAAGCTTCTTCTCATGACTGATTATGGCGTTCTTTGTCTAAAATCTGACTAGACTATGTTGTCTTAGAGGACATGTCCTTAAGAACAGCTTAGCACCCTGATTTTCAAATTAAGCTCCTCTGACCTTAGACTTTGCAGGTGGGGGAAGTTGTAGAGCAGTGGTTCCCAACCTGTGGGTCGCGACCCCTTTGGCGGTCGAACGACCCTTTCACAGGGGTCACCTAAGACCATCCTGCATATCAGATATTTATATTACGATTCGTAACAGTAGCAACATTACAGTTATGAAGTAGCAACGAAAATAATTTTATGGTTGGGTCACAACATGAGGAACTGTATTAAAAGGGCCAGAAGGTTGAGAACCACTGGTTTCAGGGCCTGAACGAGGGGTCCTAGGACCTTTGCTTCACCCTCACAGTGTCTCCTTTTTTCCTGTTTTGCATATTGGGGTTCCACATAAGCTCTCCCATGACAAAAGGACCCTGCTGCTATAACCAAGTTTCAAGATACCTGATTTTGAAGCTAGTTGGGCCTTTAGTAAATCTTGGAGGTGAGGCAGATTTGTGAAAAAAGGGACGCAGGTGTGATGAATGAACCATCTCTGAGACCAGGAGCTGGTTAGGTGGGGCAGGGCTGAAAGCCTCACACTCATTGCTTTATAGTCAGAATGCATTATGGAGTTTACAGGGAGGGGGTAAAGGTCAGATGTGGGGAAGGAAGGACAGGGCTTCCTGTCTGCAATGTTTGTTGGGCCCAGCCGCTTCCCTCACCAGACTCACAGCCCTGTGGATGAGTTCTCCAGGCGGTCAAGGGCAGGCAGGAGATGGGGCAGTGAGGGGAGGATATGTTCTTGGGGTACAGAGTCTTTGACCACAGGGTCCAAAGGCCCCGGGCCAACTACTAGAAAGCTGTGCATGCCTACAGCCCGGGCCCCCTTATAATCATTGTGGTAACTGTCCCCAATATGGGCCGCCACTGCTGGTTCTACACGAGCAAGCCGCAAGGCTTCCTGGAAAATGCGGGGGTCCGGCTTGCACCAGCCAGTAGCCCCAGAGGTCAGCACAAAGTCGAAATGTTCCCGCAAACCGAGACCCATCAGGATACCCTCTAGTCGCTCGTCAAAGTTGGAGACCACTGCCAGCCTCAGACCTCGTTTTCGGCACCCCCTCAGGGTGTCCTCAGCTCCCTCCAACATCTGCCAGGTACAGGGTCTGCTGAAGTCTTTGTACAGCTGGTCAGCGATGGGGGCCACAGCCTGGGCATCCCGAGCACCCGCCAGGTGGAAGGTCTGCAGGACCACATCCTGCCACCACTGGCGGCAGGTGAGGCCCTGGCTCAAGCCATAGTTGGGGAAGCTGTGGCTCTGAGCCTTGATCACCTGCCCAAAGGCTTGTTCCAGGACTGGGGCCTCCACCTTCAGCCCGTGGGCCCGAGCGCTGGAGGCATATTGCTCCCCCACGGGCCGGCGGAGCCTGAGCAGTGTGTCCTTCACGTCCCACGTCAGCAGTCGTATCTGTAGCTGGTGCGTCATGGGTCTGCAGGAGGGGCCAAGTCTACGCCAGATCCACCTTACGTTCCAAGGGCCAAGGGGAAACCGAGTTGGACCACACACTTCTACAACCTAATGGTTGTCTCTTTCTGGATTTCGTGGGTCAGAATTTCTGGTACTTGGGGAATGTCTTCACAGCAGAAGATCCTGGAATGAGACGGCAAGTAAAGTGGGAGTTCAGGTTTTAGACTGGATTCAAATTCTGGTGCTGACAACTCAGTGTGTGGCCCTGGGAGTATCACTCTTGGAAGCCCTGTCTCCTCATGGGTAAGAACACAAGGACCCAACCTCGCAAGATTATTGGACTAAATGAGATTATCTGTTCATTGCACAACAAGTTTCTAAACACTGATTATGTGCTAGATGCTGGGAACCGGACAGGGTTCCGGATCTCATGGCATTTATAGCATTAAATAATAGGGGATACAGATATTAGACAAAGAACTACACAGACACTTAGGCTTAATGAATGCAGCATGAACCGTGAAGTTATAAATCCAAGGACCTTATCTGGTCTTTGTCAGGGAACCTCCTAGGCAAGTGAAGTTTCAGTGGGGATCTGAAGAATGACTATTGAGGAAAGAGAGGTGGTTAAGTGTTCCTGGCACTGAAAACAGCAAGTGCAAAGGTCCTGAGGCAGGGCAAGGAGTCTGGTGCTTGGGGTAAAGAGGGGCCAGCTCAGGCAGGGCTGTGTAGGTCAAGATAAGGAAACAACTATGATTGCTATTCCTATTGTTAGCAATTCCAAAGACAGAAGGGTCCTTGCAGACCATCTGACCAAACCCGTGGCTGTTCAGCAGGGAAGACTGAGCCAGAGAGGAGCAGATATTTACCTAAGATCACAGTGAGTCAGCAGCATAGCCAGGACTAGAACCCAAACTTGCACCCTTTGGCCAGTGCTTCCTTCCACTGCTTAGGCATATTGAATTAAAAAGAAAATCTTTTTGGCAAACCTGTACAGCATAGGACAAAAAGCAGACCAGAGCTGCCTGGTCCTACCTGCCTTTAAGCCTCTCTGAGCCCCAGCTTCGTCTTTTTTTTTTTTTTTAAATAATATGTTTTTATTGATTTCAGAGAGAGGAAGGGAGAGCAAAAGAGACATCAATGAGAGAAACATCAATGGGCTCCCTCCTGCATGGCCCCTACTGGGGATTGAGCCAGCAGTGCCGGCGTGTGCCCTGTGACCTCCAGGTTCATAGGATGATGCTCAACCACTGAGCCACACCGGCTGGGCCCAGCTTCATCTTTAATGGAGGTAACACCACCTGCCTGGGTGGACAGCAGTGAAAGAACTACTGCCTTAACGCACAGGAAACAAACTCCTCCGCCTGTCGGCCACAGGCTGGACGCAGCTTCTTTCCCCAGAGCCGAGTCGGGGTTCCTGCAGGGATCTGAGGGTCCAGAATTCCGAGTGCAGCCACGTGTTTGCCGAGGAAGGGACGTGGCTGGTGAATCCGGGACATGTCTTAGAGGAAGCTGGTCAAGGACAGGACTTTAAGTCTGTCTGGAACTTAGGGAGACCCACCGAAAGACCCTTCTCACTTTGCGGGAAGGGAGATGAAGGCCCGGCGAGGGACAATGGCACAGCTGAGCCGAGAACAAAGGCTCTGGCTCCAGGCCCACAGCGTCTGGCATTTCTGGAAGCCGGAGCTGGGGACTCTGGGCTCCAGGCATGAACTGCTCACCCTTCCTCCCCGACTCTAGGGCTCGGTGGCGGCAAATTACAGGTGTGCCAGCCGTTAGAGCGAGACCTCTAGGCTGCCGTCTGCAGGTGACCCGGGCGGGAGGGTCTTAGGGACGCAGGCCGCTCCGGCGGCGGCAACCTGGGGCCCCTGCTCAGCTCCAGCGCGGAGAGCGCGTCCCCGGGGCTCAGGACTCACCTGCTCGGAAGCGAAGCGCAGGAGGGAAACCGCAGGCCCTGCCGGCGTGGGAGGCGCGCAGCTCTGCCCGGCGCTGGGCCGCCTCTCCTCGGCCCCGCCCCTTCCCCCCTCCTTCCTGCCCCCCTCCCGCTGAACCCTCCGCCCCTCCGCCCCCCGCGTGCTCCTAGGGCTCTAGGCTCCCTCTCCGCCCTAGGACTCACACCCTTCTCCGATCCCCATCTTAAGTCCTTTCGCCCCCAACCCGCGTCTCACCGTCACCGTGCACCCTCTGTGCCTCTGCCCCCCCCCCCCTTCCCTCTCCCAGCCCCTCCGTCTTCCTGGGGTTGGGACACTCCTGGGAGGGGCTCAGGCTGATTGGAAGA